GGAGAATGGAGGAGAAGGGATTGCGGCGTGGCCATCCCCCCTGGGGGCTGATTTCTTGCTTTCTATCTCTCTGTCTCTCTTTGTGTGGCAAGCACACGTGCCCTATAGCAAAAAACAAAAAAAAGAAATGCTGTTTTCCTGTGGAGAAGGGTCTTTTGTCCTCAGATGGCAGCCTCAGGCATCTCCTGCTCCTGGGCTGAAGGCACTGAAGGCCATTTTTATAAACAACAAAACGTAGAGGCCAGTTGGTGGTGCAGTTGTCATGCAGCTGGCCTGGCCTGAGCGGGCCTTTGTTTGTGTCCTGGGACCTCCCTGAGCATGCTGGGCATGTGTGTGCCGTTGATCCTGCCAGCTGAGCCTAGGGTGAGATTGCAGCATGAAGGACCCCGAGGGGATGGCTCTCTCTCTGTCTCTCTTTTTCTTTCTATCGCTCATGGAAGAAATACAAACTTGAAAAAAATGAGAAACCTTAGATTGCTAGTATGGAGTGTCTCCTGAACTACTTCAGAAGCAATTGCTCTTATTTTAGAAATAACGCTCGTCAGCTGACCTGTATGGCAGCTGAAAATGTAAGTTCAGGACATAGGTATCTTTCCTTATCTGCAACTGTTCCCTGAAGTTGAAAATGAGGTTCCTAAAAGGAATTAACATTCCAATCACTTCCATGGTCTGTTCAAGGTCTTACCAAGTTCCAGCCCTTCCAGAAACTACAACGTGGGCTGTAGAATTCCACCACCTGGGTGTCAAGGGCTTGTTTTCATGTATCTCTACCCCCGACCAAGTGCCTACTAGCGCTGCTTTTTAAGAATTACAATAATTTTTCTCTCAAAAAAAAAAAAAAAAAAGGAACCAGCAGTTAGCGTAATGGATATGTCACTGGACTCCCACGTAGTCGACTGCGGTTCACGTCCTGGACCTGGTGGCTTAAAACTCATGCCGGGTGCGTGTGCTTGCATGCCCAAAATCCCGAGAGGAGAATGGAAGAGAAGGGATTGCAGCGTGGCCATCCCCCCTGGGGGGTTGATTTCTCGCTTTCTGTCTCTTTGTCTCTCTCTGTCTGTCTGGCGAGCGCATGTGCCCTATAGCGAAAATATCTCAAAAAAAAAAAGAATTACAATAATTTTTAGTTTAATGGTATTTTTATTTTATTCCATACCCAAGGAATAAAATGCTAAAATATTGAAATATATTATTTCAGATGAGCTTATTCAAGATAATTATTATTAATTCATCATATATGATGTTTGTTCAACAAATTAAACACCATATACGTTATTTTGAAAAAAATCTAACGTTAAAATTTTTAAAAATTTAACTTTATTATCATAATTTTTGTATTACATTTAATCGCATGTATCTTTACAGTGTATTACATTTCTTTCCCAGTACAAGTACTGTGCATATCGGTCAAGACAAAGACATTCTATCCACATCATCATCTAATAGCTTTTCATTATTTTTTTTGATGATGATGATGATTATTATTATTAATTCTCTCTTTTTTTAAACATTCGATCACTATGTATCAGTTGGCTTGTAAAGAGAATTTACCCAATATGAAATACTTTTCAGACCAGTCCAGTTATGAATAGTATAGATGCTATCAACAGGCAATAAACCATTTCTGTGTCCCATTAGTGTTATGGCTATTTATTCTCTTACTATCCTTTTCTATACTCTTCCCTTCTCTCCCCTCTTCATTCCACACTGTCCTCAGCTTCCATAACCATTTTCACTGTTTTTAAGCCCTCCAGTATTTTGATCTGTACCATAAAGGTGGAAAGTCAGTATATATTAAGTAGATAATACAATATCTTTCTTTCATAGCCTGGCTTGCTACACGCAGCAATAGATCTTCCATATATTCCACCACTTCCTATCAAATGCCAGGGTCTTGATTTTTTTTTTAACAGCTAAATAGTATTCCATAGAGTATATGTACCACACTTTTTCCATCCATTCATCTGATTGTGGACATTTGGGTTGGTTCCATGTCTTAGCGATTGTGAATAACGCTGCAGTAAACATAGATGTGCAAGCACTTTTCCAACTGAGCATTCTCCTATCCTTTGGGTAGCTACCCAGAAGTGGGATTGCTGGGTCAAATGGTAGTTCTATTTGTAGATCTTTGAGGACTCTCCATATTGTTTTCCATAGTGACTGGACCGGTTTACATTCCTACCAATAGTGTAGGAGAGTTCCCCTTTCACCACATTGCCTGCCAACACTTATCACTTTTTGTATTTTTAATCTTTGCCATTCTGACAGGGCTTAGGTGGTACCTCATCGTGGTTTTAATCTGCATTTCCCTTATAATGAGGGATGCTGATCATTTCGTCACATGCTTTTTGGCTGTTCGTATGTCTTCCTTAGAGAGATTTTTGTTCGGCTCATTTTCCCCATGTTTTAATTGGGTTAGACACTTTTCGTTCAGGTAAGCTGCTTGAGTCCCTGTGCATTCTGGTTATTGGTCCCTTGTCTGAAGCATATTTTACAGCGCTGTTTGTTTTTGTGTGAAGGGGAAAGGAACAGAAAGAAGACAGTGAAGACAGCCTCTATTTACAGAGGCTCATTAGGAGCAAAGGGGGACTAGACATTATGGAAGGAAGAGAAACTGTAGTTTTGGAGCACTGAGAAAGTAAAGCATAAAAATGGAATGGGGATCTTGAAATTCTGCCTGTGTAGCGGGAAGCAGTCTCACTATGTTCCCAGCCCAGGGCCCTGGAACCAGAAGTGCAATTTTGTTTTCTCTCCCCTGTGCTGACTCAGTCCTCAACTTTGGCAGGTTTCTCAACATCTCTGTTCCTCATTCTTCATCTTGGGAGTGGCTATACCAATTCCTGCCTCCTCAGGATACTGAGCTCATATGAGGGTTTGGTGAGGAGGCGAATTTTCCTTTTCTGTTGTTTTTCATTTGTTTCCATGTGGGTACGTGCTTTGTGCCTCGGTGTAGTCTGTCTTCATGGCAAAAGTCATGGTCAGCCCAGGCTGAACCTTTCCCTGGGCATCTGTTGGTCCCAGTGGGGATGCCCCGGGGAAGCACACTCAGTCCAAGGAGTGGACAGGCCAGTCCTTTGACTGTGGTGGCCAGCCTCCGGGGAGTGCCCCAGCCTGCATGAAGTCACAAGACCAAGGCCCTGGAGCATGCAGAAAGGCTCCAGGTGGGGTTAGTGGAGTCAACATTTTGTTTAAGGAATGCACCTGTGGCAGAGTTGTCTACTTGTTCTTTAGCCTTTAGTTCGTAGACAGCCTGGAGCTAATGCTGAAGGGAGAGATGGGATCGGAAGGGCTCTGTCTGAGCTGGAGCCATGTCTTCCTAGCTCTGACACCAGGAAGATGCCCGTCCCTCAGCAGGGGTGGAAGCACTAGAGCCTGTAGCTCTTCTGTGTAACGGAGGGGTGCCAGTAAGTGCTTTCTGGTTTAGGGTCTGGGAGGGCTAAACAGGACCGACAGGCAAGCTCTGGTTTGGCACACACTCCACAAACGCTCGCCACCACCATTTCTCTATAAAATAATGACTCAGACTATGTGATTTGTGAGGGTCTGTGTCTTTCAAAAGTTCTACCCTGTATGCCATCTGTGAATGCTGGAAAACTGCACACCATCAATTTTTTATTCGGAAAACATAGATGTTTCTACTTGTTGTATGTACAGGTGTGTAACTGCTAGCTGTCAGCTTTGGCTCTGTCAGTCCAGCCGGTGACAGCAATCTCATGTTGCACTGTGCTGATTTAATGAGTGCATCCTGTGTGCCAGGTCCCATGTAAGGCCTTTTCCCAAAAACCCCCTCAGGTACTCATTGTATAGTCCTCTTTGGACACTGGTAGTATTTGCTAATGAGGCAATGGTAGCTCAGTCAAGTTAAATGACTTCCTCAGTATCTCACTGGAGGCCACGTCAGGGTATTAACTGATGAGTTATCTGTTGCTGTGTAACAATATAACCACAAATGTAGTGGCCTAGAGCAACCCACTTATCATCTCACAGGTGTGAGTGGGTCAGGAGTCCAGGCATGCTTTAGCGGGATCCTCTGCTTCAGAGTTTCGCAAACCTCCAGTCAAGATGTGGGCCGAGGCTCAACTGGGGAAGGAGCCTTTTCCAAGCTCACGTGGTTTTTGGCAGAGGTTAGCTCCTCACAGGTTGTTGAACCGAGGGCGTTTCCTTCTAGCTGTTGGCTGGTGGCAGCCCTTAGTTCCTTGCCGTGTGAGCATCTCCGTCATCGCCATTTGCTTCCTCAGAGCCAGCGAAGGAGATAGGCTCCTCACAAGACTAGTTGTATCATTATGTACCATAATCACAGACACGTAATCACCTACACCCTACCACCTTTGTTGTATTGTGTTGGTTAAAAGCAGGGCACGGGTCCAAGTACATTCAAGAGAAGGGAATCCCAAGATAGTGGATGCCAGGAGGCAAGAGTCATGGGACCTCCCTGGAATCTGCATGCTCACCCACACCCAGGTGACCCAGGTGGAAAATACAACTCCAGAAAGCCATGAAATAGGTGCTAAGGGGATATGAGGTAGGTCAAGGAGGGATCTGAGTAGAATAGGGAAATGTAAGAAGAATTGGAAAATGTTGATTTCAAGTTGGGACATAAAGGAAATGATTGGCATAGATTGGGAGAGAAGAGGACCAGTGTGGGACACAGTAGATACAGAAGAGGCAATAGTGAGAGAAGGCCATTACCACAGGGCCCTGTGCCCAATTCTGGAGGAACTGGCTCTGCATGGACACAGCCTGGCCCTTGGACCATCAATCTCCCCTTCATCTGGAAAACCCACTTTGTCTAAAGAGCCAAGAGTAGAAAATTAAAATTCAATCTAGCTTCTCCCAAGTAGAAATTCTTGACCTTACATAGGAGAAAATAATGATTAATTTAGTAATCCATGTCTCTTTTGGAAAGTGAAGTGCTGATACATTTTGTCAAACACTGCCTGAGTCCCCAAAACAGCTTAGGTGGCAAGAATGATAACCCTGTATTTTCTCTCTATTAACAGAAAGCGAAACTACCGACAGCGTGCCCAGTGATGAAGAGAATGCCG